AGGAACTCTCTCAGAATGGGAGAGACAAGTCCTCCTGTTGTCAACAGCAGGCCAAGCAGCTTCTTTTGTAAGCTCCTACTCCTTGCTCCTGATCTCTGATAGTGAGACTCAAGGAAACACTTTGACATATCACTCATCTTTTCCTAGTGAGAGGTAAAAGGAGTGGCCATTAAAGCACTGGCTTAGATAAAACCAATCTTGAGATCCTAAACTGGCTAGAAAAAACAAGTTTTCTGAACTGTTAAAACAAATGGTCTCTTCCCTTAGATCTCACAATGGCATTAGCAAAGGGTCTTACAGTTCATCTGCAGCCTCCATCACTGGGCCTGCCAACGTCCCAGCACCTTGTGCCTGGAACAACTTGTCAACACAAAGCACACCAGATGTGCTCTACCATACACTTCTGTGGGGATGAGACCAAGTTACTAATAAGAGGTTGTCAGCCTTCAAGGTCAAAAATAAATCAAATCCTACACAAGGGTCTACAATGCCCTCTTGTGTTCAACTGAATAAAGACTCTTCTACATCTAGGCTGCATCCAATCAGCATCAAGAAAGTGATTAGTCCCTTCAAGGAGGTAGCACTCCCAAAGCCCAAGTGACAAGACTACTCAGATGAGGTGTCATATCCTCCAGAAAATGCTTGGTGCCCACTCATATCCTAAATGACTGCTGAGAGGACATTCTCCAAGGTCCTCAGAAAGTCAGATAGAAAATAAAGATTTCCAACAAAGATTCACGAAGGCTTTAAACACAAGAAATGGATAATGTAGATGGAGTACCAGTCACGTACTCTTTTGATGGACATAGCAGACACACAATTTGTAGTGTATCAGTGACCTGGAGTCCTAGAATCATACTAATCCAAATGAACCACGATCCCGAAAGTTCCAGGCTACAGGCAAAATGCTGGGATCCTGCTCAGGGCTGCTAGGTACTAGCAAACATTTGAAGTTAACCAGCAGCATGCCTGAAAGATCTCAAGACCATGGTCACTCCCACTGATAGATGAGGACGTTCTTCCCTGTTAAGGTAGCCAAGTAGCTGTTATGGTTCACCTCAAATGGGCAGATGTCCAAGATAGGCTGATCAGTCTTCAGGTCCTGCAGCAATGAGCCACTGCCAGCATCCCATAGCTAAAGAAGGCAAGTAGAAAGGCCAAGAGTCAGTCAGTTCAGCCGAGGGACTTGCTTTATCATAAAACAACTTTAAAAGAGCTGTAGAGAGAACACTTCATGGGCAGCAAAGCAGACTGGCCCGAACCTTCACAAGGTTGCACAAAGCCAGCATGCTGGACATAGTTCAGGTATGGACTCACCTACTGTAATCAGCAATTACTCCACCCATGAGTGCACCTGTAAACCAAGCCTAGCATTCATTCCTTCAATCTATGTGCAAGGCACTCTTCGAGGTTTTGTCTTTTCTAGGGACTGAAGGATCAATAAGACAAAGTCTCTGTCCCTGACCTCATGGAGCCTACCTTCTAATTAGTACTTTCTTTTCCTTTCTAAAAACTGTTTTATCAAAAACATTTTAGAGTATTAAAAAGTAAAGAGAATAGTACAATGAGCCACCTATCATCCACGTTCAACAATTACTATGCTTTTTCTTCGCAAAGGCTTGAGGGAGATTTTTAAAAAAAAGCTTAAGCTTTTGCCACTTCTGCTTTATCAATCCTGCTTTTTCTTTGTTGACTTCATGTCATGTTACCCTTACATACTAAATATGCATCTCTAAAAAGACGTTTTCTTTCACCTGACACTTTACATGTCATCATATCCAACAAAATGAACAGTAATTCCATAATTCTATCTAACACTGGTGCATAATCAAACTTTTCTGATCCTTTTTTATATTCAGTTTGTATGAATCAGGATCCAAGTAAGGCCCACATTACATTTGGTGATTATAAATCTTAATTGTTTCTTTTAACATAGAGCAGATCCAACCTCCCCGTCTTTTCTTCTGCTGTATAAAAATGTTCATGTTTTCCCTTACCAATATTTATACAAAATAAACAAATAACGGGCTCACCAGGGCTGAATTTGATGCTTCATCCCCAGTACACACCAGTATGCTGCCATCATTCTGTGGGTTTTGGAAAATGGCACTTTTGGTCAGGAGTTTACAAGTGGATCCCCCAAGGAATGTTTGTACAGGATGGCAGGAGCAGATTGGCTCTCCAGTGTCATTCAGTGTATAGGACATCTCCATCAGCACGCTTCGTATGGTCTTGTGGTTTTTATCTATGGGACAGAGAAATCAGTGCTGCACCATGGGGATGCTACAAAAGAAATTAACCAAGTACCTGAACCTCAGACACTTATATCCTAGCTGGATGGAAAAGCCTTAAGTGTATTAAACCATTAAGAATCATTACAAAACAAACACAGTAACAAGAACAATATAGCATAAATGAAATTCAGAACCCTAGGCTAGGATGAAGCAAGTTATCTACAACAAGTTTTTGCCTACAAGAGAAACAATTCTGAGCATGAGCTAACCATTTTAGTAAAATCACTGTATCTTGCCAGAACTCTCCTGGGGGATTTATCTCTCCAGAGTTCCAAGTATAAGGTTTTTTCCCTTCCATCAGTGAGAACCCCATTAGCCCCAAACTGCAAGTTTTTATAAAGTGAAAGCATACTATTCTAGGAGGAACATGTATCTGAGGTTCTGCTGGGAGGCAAACAAAAGCAGGAGAACAAAATGGGACTCCAAGCTTCCTACACAAGTCACAGCAAATGACAGCCTTGGAGACAGCAAACCTGTGGGATGTGGAGCCTAAAAGGTCAGAAGAGCCGGCTGACAGTTTCCCAGTTCAAACAAAACTTAAAATGGCCGGGCAATGGTGGCTCACGCCTGTAATCCTGGCACTCTGGGAGGCCACAGCAGGAGGATCGCTTGAAGTCAGGAGTTCAAGACCAGCCTGAGCAAGAGTGAGACCATCTCTACCGAAAATAGAAAAATTAGCCAGGCATGATGGCACACACTTGTAGTCCCAGCTACTCAGGAGGCTGAGGCAGGAGGATCTCTTGAGGCCAGGAGTTTGAGGTTGCAGTGAGCTATGATGATGCCATTGTACTCTAGCTACGGCAACAGAGTGAGACTCTGTCTCAAAAATACAAAAAATAAAAAAACCTTAAAATGATGAGATCTACCCACAACTACCAGAAGTGTGAGCATTCAATGACTAACTCTGACCAAATATCTATCTATCATAAATTTGTTTAATGTAGTTGCCGCCTCGGCATCCATTTTTAGGTGTAACATAAATTGTGTGAAACCCAGAAATACCGTCACCTTTGGCCTAGCTAAAACTTCCTCTTGCCAAGAGGTGGTCTGCAATATAGTCCGCTTGTTCATCATCCCACTGACCCAAAACCCTATACATTCCACAGCTGCTGACCACAATAAAACCTAATGGGCAGCACCAGAGTCGCGTAAATTCCCCTGCTTTGTACATGTTGTCTTTAAACCGGCTAATCCACAACCCTCGAGGGAAAGCCTAAAGGACAATGCCCTAGCCCTTAATAAAGGCATGTCCTACAAGTCCCCTGCCTCGCTCCCTGCCTGGTGGTTGAGCATGAATATCCCGGATGGCTCCCTCTTCTTCCCATTGGCCCTTCCAAGCATGCTGCCCTCTTCTCCCTGGGATCTGTAAGTAATCAACTGCTTGTTATCTGCTGTGTTTTGTTGAGTTGCCTCCTCTGTCTCACCTGACCAACACACCTGAACCTAACTTCTTTCCTCGTCAGGGCTCTCTTAGACTGGCCATCTTAGCAGGAATAGACTGGACACAGGTTAAAAAAGAGCCACAAGGGTGCCTGCCAGTATAAACAAGTTTCCTGTGAGTTGGACATTTAGGCATTAGCGCACCTGCCAGGATAAAGAAGTGTCCTGTGAAAGGCACACTGTAAACATTCATGACCAAATCCCTGGAGCCCTGTTAGGGCAGAGCCAGAGATTATAGCCATTCTCCAGAGAGACCTCATGACCAAATTAGAAAGGTAAAAATCTACAACACTGATCATCAATCAGTATGGTTCATCAGGAATTTAGATTCATGATGCCTTTTAGGTTAGAAAGAACCTGTGAATTTAAACACAGTCAGCTATCAGGGATTCAACCCTGGCTCTGGAGGCAGTGACATCTAGCTGGCTAAACCAACACAACCATGGTTGTCCACCTTCTCTTTACCTTTCTTGGCCCCCAGTAAGGAGAAATAGATAATTCCTTAATCTGGGCACTACACAGGTGCCTTCATTTGGGTCCTTCTCTTAGGTGAACCAAGGGACAGGCAGAAGACACAAAACTGATCTAAACTTTGCTCAAGGGCATCAAGAGCTGGCCACCTCATTCCATTACCATTTTAAGTTGTAGGGCCTCATATGTGCCTAATTCACTTCCAGGAGTATCGGGCAGAATATGTTCCAGTTCTCACAAGTAAGGAGAAGGGAGGCAGGCTCAGTGGAGGAACTTGGAGCCATCAATCTCAGTGTAGTAGCAAGAGCTGTGACATAACCTGTTAGCCTAAGAGGGGCTTAAAACAGCCACTCCTACCACAGGGTGGGATCAAGCTTTCCTTCCCTCCTCTCTACCAATCTTCTCCCAAACAAACCACAGGAAGCCCCATGAGGACACTCTAACACTCACCAGGCCTGTAGGTCACAAGACAGTGCCGGGTGCTGCTCTCTGTCTGAAAGTCTACATAGCCTCCTGGCTCCAAGGGCAGCACATGAGGCCAATGAGAAAAACCCATTCTCAGTTCCCAGAAGGAAGCGTTCTCCAAGGTTCCAGCCAGCACCCCACCATATGGAAATGCACCTGAGGCAGCTCTGGGTATGTATGACAGGGACACCAGTGGGCATCTGCAGGAAAAGAAAGGAAACCATGTCTCACATTCCAAAACTTGGACTGCTCCAAACTCCGCTACCTGCAGCCCTCAAGTATATTTCTACCTCTACAGAAGAGGTATCCTCTGACATATGATAAAAACTCTCAACCTTCTCTATAAAAACACAAGGGCATACATAAAATATTCTGCATCTGATTTCAGGGGAGACACCAAAAGCTCTAAAAGAAATGGAAAAAAACAAAAGGACTAGGAAATTTAATGGATACAGGATCACAATTACTTGACTGATGTGAAGCTTCTGGAAAGCTTCCTTGCCACAAAGACAAGGAAAGTCAGCAAGGAAACAAAGCTTATATACATCACAAAATAAAGATTCCAAGCTGTAGCTGACAGACCCTGCAATTAAAATGTAGCCAAAAGCAACTATGTTTTAATCCAGAAACAAGATTTTTTTTTAGATTTTCTAAATTTCTTTCCACAAGCAGATGACCAGGACTATACGCCAAGAATCCTCTCAGAAATATCAGCCTGTGGACTATGTTCCTATGCACTCATTTCTGCTGAAGTTGCCCAAGTGACCACTTTGCATGATTTATTTCATTTTCCCAGTCACACAGAAAGTAACTAAA